GGTGGGGCTTTAATCTACATAAACAATCAATTAAAGGTTTTGAGTTTTAAAAAATTTTGTATTGAAATTTTTATTTGAAAAAAGTAATTACTTAGTTGTTAGTTTATACAGATCTCCTAGTAGTTCTTGTAAGGATTTTTTAGACTTTTTTGAACATTTTGCAGATGACTTTTTATGTGATTGTGATTTTAATATAATTGTAACAGGTGATTTTAACATTGACTTGATGCATGACAATACTTACAGTAGCAGATTAAAAAATTGTATTTCTGACATTGGTTTGAAAAATATTGTTTCACAAGTTACCCATCCCTCCAATAGTAATAATGGTGGCTCACTTATAGATCTTGTAATAACTAATTCTGAAAATATTAGGGTAGAAATTGTTACATCGCCTAGAATAAGTACACATTTTAATATTTTAATATATCTAGACTGTTTGGCACTAACCAAGGAACCACAATTAATTGAAAGTAGAGGTAGAATTATCGATTATGATACTATTAATGAAAAATTATCTAAAGTTGAATGGAATTATAGATTACGGATTAATGCCAAATATAAGGATTTTTATGAAAAAGTAATGAGGGTTTTAAATGAGGTGGCACCAAAGAGAACTATTAAGATTTTTCCAAAATTTAGAGTTTGGTGGAGTGACACAGTGCACACAGCAACTATAGATAGGGATAAGGCTTACAAAAATTATGTATTAAACAAAACAGAACAAAATAAAGAATTATATAAACAGAAACGTAATATGGCTGTTAAAACTATTAGAAATGAAAAGAGAAAATATTATGACTCTCAAATTATGGAAAATAAAAATAATTCTGTTAAATTATGGAATGTAATGAAGGAACTGTTACCCAAAAACTATAAACAAAATGATCTTGTAGAAATTGAAATAAATGAAAATTTAATTATAAAAGACATAATTGAAATGCCAGATGCACTTAACACATATTACATTGATAGTATAATTGACTTAGTATCTAATATAAATCAGAACGTTAATGATTTTCCCATTATTGTTAAAAATGATAATGTAAGTCTTAAAAAGTTTAATCTTGTTAGTTTTGATACTTTAAAAGAAATTGTTTTTGATATGTCGAATAAAGGAAGTCCTGATGAAATTAATGTACTGTTTTTAAAATACTGTTTCGAAAATATTGCTAAGCCATTGATAAATATAATAAATTCCTCGTTAGAGACTAATACTGTTCCAGACGATCTAAAAATTTCAATAATAACACCAATAGCTAAGGTTGAGAATTCAAATAGGGCAGTGGACTTACGTCCTATTAATATGTTATGTACAGTAGAAAAAATTTTAGAGAAAGTAGTATATAATCAACTTATTGAATATTTGGAAGAAAATAATATGTTTAATAGTAATCAATCAGGATTTCGGGGTAAACACAGCTGCGAGACCACTACAATATGTATTAAATGACTGGAAACAGAATCTTGACAACAAGTTAATTACAGGTGCTCTTTTTTTAGACCTACAAAGAGCATTTGAAACGGTAAATCGATCTCTGATTAAAAAGTTTTGGTATTATTGAAAATTCACTAGAATGGCTTATAAATTACCTGGACAATAGAAAACAAAAATTAAGGTTTAAAAACATTTTATCAAAAGAACAAAAAAATGAATTAGGCGTACCACAGGGGAGTGTATTGGGCCCACTATTGTTCCTTCTATATATTGATGATATTGCTCAAGTTGCAGGTGGTTGCTCCATACATATGTTTGCAGATGATTCTCTGCTGTATTATTCTGCTAATAATTTGCAGGAAGTAACCGCTACTATAAATACCACATTAAAGCAAATATATTATTGGTGTTGTTTTAATTCGTTAAAAGTAAATATTAACAAAACTAAATTTATGATTATCGGGAATGTTAGGTATTACAATGAATTTACTGAAAATAATATGAAAATTAGTATTGAAAATGATGTCATTGAAGTCGTAAAAAAAATTAAATATCTGGGAGTAATAGTAGACCATATGTTGTTTTTTAAAGATCATGCAAACTATATCATTAAAACAGTAGCGTTTAAAGTCAACTACTTATACCGGTGCTCAAAATATATTAATAAATGGTCATTGATTCTTTTATATAACAGTATAGTTTTGCCTCATTTCACTTATTGTGCCACCATTATGTATTTACTTAATCAGAATGAAACCAACAGACTTCAGAAATTACAAAATAGAGCAATGAGGATATTATTGTCATGTGATAGAAGGACCAATATATTAGGTATGTTACAAAATTTGAAATGGCTTTCTGTTAAAAACTATTTTCTATACTTAACTTTAATATTCATTTATAAAATTAAACATGGACTGGTCCCCTCTTATTTACTTGATAAAATCAATTACAACTTTGACTATCATAACTATAACACAAGAAATAGATCTAATTTTCATATTCCACAAGTTGCACGTAAACAGTCCCAAAATTCAATATTTTTTAAGGGACTTCAAGCTTTTAATGAGATACCCTTAGAACTCCGAAATGTCGCCTCATTTAATACCTTTAAATATAAACTAAGAGATTATATGTTAACGAGCCAGCATCTGTGATATTTTAGTGTTATATTTTAGATATAGATAAATATTTTTTGTAATTTTATTTATTTGTAATGTACTATTAGCTTTGCTAAATAAACGAGATATATATAATTAACATAATAGTTCATTTGTGCCGCAAAAATCTATTCTATAAGCAGAAATATGTTAAAAATTTAACATAAATGTGTTAATTTTATGCGTTAAATCGAGGATATTAACAGGTGCTAATTAGTAGGCTTTAAAACTTAACATATAAGAAATTATGACTTTTGAATGTTTAATTCAACTTATAATGCAAGAAAATCATGAAAATGAACCATTTTGAAAGTACTCAAGTAATTTTAACAGTTGAAATTACACAAATTATATTTAGAAATTATATTTTTTATAGTGTATATAAACTTTTTGTAGTTTAGTTATTGATTTGCCGTAGAAGAGAACTATTATAAGGTTACTGGGGTTAGTTTTGTTAATATTGAAAATTGATGGCCTATCAAATAGTTTATAAAGTAAATTCGGCCGCTATACTTTTTTCAATATTCTTGTGCATTTATTTGACAGATCTTAAAACTTAACCAAACTTTTATGGCAAATTTGAACTACTTTTAACGTATGTTTATTTTTTCTGTAAATTTAACTTATGCGTTAATTTTATTTTTACAGAATTACAATTTATGTTAAAATCGTAAAATTTAACACCCGTTAAAAATAAACGTATTGAATTACAGAATTACCACTAATGAATGGTAGAGTGGGGAATCCTACCAAGGCATCAGAATTAATTTTAAATAATTTAAATTAAATAAAAAAATCCCGGCCAACGGTGGGATTCGAACCTGGGACCCTTGGATCCACAGGCAGATACTCTACCACTAAGCCACCCACCCCTTTATAACGTTATTAAAGAAGATACAGTTATTGGAGAAGTTTCACATCCGAAAAGCCCCCAGAAAGAAACAAGACCTTTATTGAAACTTGGGTAAAGAATGTAATAAGGCAAATGGTACAGTCTTTTTTCTACCATGAAGAAATGGATGACCCTATGTTCGAAAATTGGCTTCAGAACAATATAGAAAAAAATTCAGCTAAGTCCAATATTATTGGTTTGGATGATTCCTTTTACAGTCGATCAAAGGAGTCACTACCTACAATAAGATGAAAAAAAAAAAGATATTTCAAAATGGCCTCATTCTAAAAATATTATCAGTCCTTTTAAATCCTTGAAGGCAGAATTACTTATAATAGCAAGGTAACATAAACACAAATTAAAAAAAAAATATATAGGCGAGATGGCCTGAGAAAAAGGAATTGAAATTCTCAGATTGCCTTCTTACCATGCAGAGCTAAATCCCATTGAACTGATCTGGTCACAGTTAAAGTTTGTTTCTCAAAACAATACAACATTTACATTACCTGATGTGCGAAATTTGTTTTTGAAGACAGTTTCAGATGTAAATGGAGAACATTGAAGAAAATGCATTGATCTTGTTAAAAAGATGGAAAATTCATTTTCGAATGTGGACATAGCAAGGGAAAACTTAATAGACCCTATAATAATAAAAATCAGAAATAATAATTATAATCATACCAGTAGTTATAGTAAAGACAGTGACTTCTAAAGATAGTTCTTGAACTTTTTATTTTTTAAATCTTTGATTTTAGGTATTGAAGTGTTACTTTTAATGCCAAGAGATTAAAAAATGTTTAATCCCATTAACAACATATAATCCTTTATTATTTATTGGTTAAATTTAATTCATTCAAAATTTAATCTTCTAAGTGCGTATATACCATTTTATATGGCGTAACCTTATTTACTCGTATATTATAAAAACTTATTTTACAAAATACGCCTATGGAATGTGACGTTATATCCCCACTTTTACTGCACTCCTTTTATTCAGACTATAATAATTTCCCCATTTACACTACTTATTAAAGGAATTCCAAAGCTGGGCATTCCAATGAGAGATCTATTTTGACTTACAAATTATTTATCTTTAACGTTTTTTAGGGTTACAACAATTTATTTCACAGTATACTATTTTTTATCTACCACGTAAACAAAATCGAACATGGAATGCTGGGACGAGTGAACTTAGGTCGAGCAGGAGTAAATATTCTATGGGTTATCGACCAATAAAACCCAGTTAATTGTAATTTTTTAATAAAAAAAAACATTCTATTTAAGGTATTATGTGGATCTCAATTATTTTTTTAAAATATATAAGTAAAAAGTAGTTCTTGTATTAATTAATATATATTTCTTAAAAATATTATAAACCCAGGTTCTGTATATCGACTTTATAAATAAAATCATTAATTGATAACCCATATCATAGGTATACAAGAAGATATTTTTAATTGTACAACAGGTTATGATTAATAATTAAATAAAAAAATAGGTAAGTACTTTTTTACATTGTATCTCCAAGAGTATAGAGACTGGCAGCAAAAACTATGTCTCGTTTTATAGCGGTAGATGCTTCCTCCATTTTATTTTTTAGCTCTGGGTCTCCCACTATTCTGGCAGCATCTTTTACGTCCATAATGGTTTCATTTAATTGCTGTATGCATCTTACTATTATTCCTTCTTGAATGTCTGTTAGTTTCATTATGTCTGCAAATGGCTAAAAAAATATGAAATTGATATTAATAAAATCAAAATACTTTGTACCATGAACAGGGAAGGAGGATGAAAGTTTATCAATTTGGTAATAGAGTAAAATATTTACATAGTCTTACAACTAATAAAGGGTGATTCATTAGTAAATGGACATACATTAACCATGAATGGATTCAACTGAGGTGATTCTAATGGCCATTTATGACCCAGACACAATCAATTTTATGCATAAAAAATAGGAAAATCCAGGTACGGCTCAAAACAGCCTACATAATAATAATAATTAGTTGCACTAAATATACACCCCACAAAAATTATTGCATCACTAAAATGTTTGCAATGTATGTTTATAAAAACAGGCCGTGCTAAAAAACTGTATTTCTCCTCTAATAACAGAGAGAATAAAACAATCAAAAAAAATAAAATTTTGCGAAAAATGAGGCTAAAGTAGGTTATTAATTATAACATGCTATTATTGCTGGTACACTCCACAGGGGTTACGAATTTTCCAACTAAAAACCTATATTATTGTAACATCCGGTATACACTCTAAAATTAAATTTTATTTAAAGAATTAAAGAGATTACTATTCCTGAAGAATCAACTTATCTTCCAAAAAAAGAATATACAAATCAATCAAACGGTTAAAAAAAAACTCCAAATTTTTGAAAACTATTAGTGATGCGATAATTTTTGAGGGGTGTGTATATAGATTACAAAAATAAAGTGCACATTTAGGGCGAGATTTAGCCGAGGCTATTCTTACATCTAACCACAATACGTTTAACCATTTAAGACGTGAAATTAATGGCGGTGAATAAGTGATCGAATGAGAAAACAGTAGACCCTTCAAATGGTTGCCCAATAAAGAAGGCTATGGTTATATTGGATGCATACCCTGACAACCATCGAGACGGATATACAAGGACGACTTTGCTCATATAACCTATGCGATTTCATTAGAGGAGTTTATTTGAGAATATCCAATTCATGGAAATAGGACAAAATAGTTAATTGGACCATTCAACTAATTTTTTTCTTAACTCATCTATCGGTTATATGACACAATCTATTGAATGACATCAAAATAAGATAGAAACAATTTTTACCTGATTAGTAGCCCATTCGTATACTACATGGACCAAACCAAAATTCAATTCTTGCTGATATTCATCAGTCTGAATACCTAAGCGTAACTCCTCTGTCTCAATTTCCTTATGGACCTCTTTTATTTCTTTAATTGCCTAAAAATAAGACAAATTTACTCTTGTAAAATTTCACAAAATAAAATTTTCTGAATTAGGTACATGGCTTTTCATTTTGACCGCTGCTTATTTTCATTTATTATTGCGAACACAAAAGAAAGTTTTGAGTAAAAACTTTGTTGTATTACCTGTACCGACTAAAAATGTAATAGGCAGAATTGTATATCCAACAAAATATAATTTCATTTTTTAATGGGACACCCTATATATTTTTGTCATTTTAAGTAGACTTGCATTTCCTGATTAAAAATATATATTTTAATTATTTAGTGACTTATTGCACTATGAAAGCGTAACACTTAGACTTAGATGGCTAAAAAATGATGTTTCCAAGTGAAACAGTTGTATTAATTCTGATGCCTTGGTAGGATTCCCCACTCGACCATTCGCTGTTGGGTTCTAATTAACAGTGCTGTTCCTAAAGTGGCACTGGGAAACAGTAACAAAGCCTACACAGAACACGAGGCTAATGACCTTAGCAGTCGATGCCGATGACAGTGGTCAAAATGTAATGAAAAACCCTGTACATGCATTTTATTACCTTTTTTAAATCTGGAGTTAAACCTTCATCATCAAAAGTTTCATTTTGGACTCTCACTCTAAAAACTAAAACTGATAGTAGAGCTGCCACTTCTGGAGCTCTTAATTTGGACAAAATATTTCTAAGTATCAATTCTGTAATAAGTAATTCATTCATTCCTATTTCACAAGCCACGTAGCCTTTAAGTTGAACTAAAAAGAAGCAATATTAATAAAAACAGCGATGCAAAAATAAGTATAAAATAATTATATTAAACTAGTCAGAAAATAAATTATAATCATTTGACGTTTTAAGAAAATTCCAAGTTTGAATTTACAGTTATTCCACTGTTTTTTTTTTACAATCAAACGGTGACACTACAAGAAACTTTTCAAAAAATAGAGAAGACTTTTTCAAGTGGTTTATATACCGCTTTTAAGCGTGCTGAACATGAATCGGAACTTCTCCACCTCTAATATTTCTGGGAAAAGGTTATAAGCAAAAAACAGTTGCAAAAGTGATTTATAACAATAAAAAAATACAATTTTTTGTATACTTTCAATTCTTCTATATGTCGTTTAGTTTGGACGCAATGGTTTATAATATAGCAAAGGTGGTACATGATAAAATAACTGTAAACACCGATACTTAAATAATTTTGTGTTTTCCGTTTACTATACTATAATCAAGCTTGATTTAAAATCTTGTCCCACAAACATTACTAAAAAATGAATTTATTATCGCCCTGCCATCCATAAACTACTGTTACATAACATTAATTTCTTACTTCTATTTTGAGTATCTACATAATTCAGTCTTCTTAGCAGTTCTATTCTGTTTTCATAATCGGGATAGAGACATAAGCTAGCATTCGATAATTGAAATTCTAAATCTTTTTTCTTTTCTTCTAAAAACTTTCTGGTAAACACTGTAGAAAATTGTTGCTCGAAATTCGGTATTTTCGTACTTGGTAAATGATCAATTAATTTGTCCTTCAGATCGTACATTTTTTGCAAAAATATGTATAATTCTTGGTCGTTTACCTATAAAAAAATATCAAAACTATCACTGACTATTAGACATGGCCAGGGGCGGACTGGGAAGGGCAATCCGATCTGGGGAAACTTTAATTAGCGGCCCGTCCAAATATCTGACTTATAATTATTATTAAAGCTTTCCGTGCAAAGATGACAGAACTGGACCAGCCTCAAAGCAACTGACCCTATGGGAATCCTCCCGAACTCTCGCTCCTGGAAATGGATCTAATGAAGCGTTAGAGATGACGTAAAAAATGAGACAAATTTGTTTAAAGATCGATCATTAAAATTTATGGGCCTGATAAACTTTGGCTGTTTAGAATGTTAGTAATTTGAAGTTCATATTATTCAGCAGTGGCGGCTGGTGCATAAAAGCTGTAGAGCTGCAGAACTGCCAAAGAAATGCAAGTATCTCATTTAGATTTCACAGAAATTATTTTAGACATTCCGAAATATACGTAAAATAGATTTTATGGATAATCTCATTAATTTTAATTATTAAATAGTAAATATTGTGAATGCTATGCTCCACAAGGTCCGCCCGCACTCATAATCTCCTTTAGCTGTTATAGTAGTCTTGATAGGCATATGTGAACAGCGAAACTTTCTTGTCAACAATATGTTGATCAAAAATAAAAAAAGGAATTTTTTTTTATGTAAATTATATTGTGGCTATGTTCAATCCTGAATAGTAGTGAAATTTACAACAATATCTAGATATACGTACTTTTAAATCTATGATGTAGTGCAAAAATTCCAATTTGTTTGTATCATTATTGACTAGCATTGTCAGTTTATGTAGTTCTTGAACTGCTTCTGTGCAAGTTTGGCCTGGTGGATCATACTTAAATCTCTCGATTTGACGTTTCTCAACATCTTTTATAACCAATTCTGTATTAACCTTTAAAAAATAAAAAAGCACTTATTATATTGCTCATTTTCAATTTAGTTTAATACTTTATTTTGTTAAATATAATGCCTAAAGTAGCTATTAGTGTTACATACATATTACATAACACATTGGGTTTAATTAAGTACCTTGACAATAAATATAGAATAAATGAAGCAAAATTAAAAGTTATCTTCCCTAATAATATACTCTTAAAATACATAACGTAAATAGTGAGTATGGATTAGGAAATAGAGGGGACACGTAACGTATGTCAGATCTGTGCAGTGGGTTGCAACTAGTATTGGAAAATAACTACCATTATTCTCCGCCAGAATACATCAACTCAATTTTACTCCTCTTTCCCCTACGCCGCGCTAGACACCGAATTTAAATATATTTGTTTTCTCACCTCTCATTATATAATTAATTGCTAAAACGCATCTAACATTAAGCAACCAACATAACATTAATGTCTGATTGGTTGTTTATGACGTAACTCCAACCAACCCTGGAAGTTCGCTCTCATTTCTACCACCTCTAATGAACTCTGCAATCTCAGACATTGTTTTAAGGAAAGAAGCAATCTTGACTCAAAGCGAGAAGGGTGTGCTCGTGGTTTGTGAGTTTCCCGCGCTTTGTGGGCGTCAACCGACCGGCGGTTTTTATTTCTCGATAAATTGAATTAAAAGTTATTATCTCGGGGTGTTGTTAAGGAAAAAAGTTTGAAAAGCAAACAGCCTCATACTTGACGTATTGTAGCATTGTTGTGCCTGTGTTTTCGTGTCATCAAATTGTTTATTTTGTCATAATACATACTAATAATTTAATAAACTGTTCAATATGGGCTTTCAGTTTGAATACCCAAACCAGAAATCTATACAGTCCATTCTAAAAATACACAAATATAGGGTGAAATCAGTAAAACTACCCCATATTTGCGCAACCAGGATGAATGACAGGTCTGTTCTGGTTTTGAGAAATAACTATCCGCAACTGTCGGGCTCATGCTCAGTAGAGATATAATGCGTTCTGAAGTGGGATTCTCATCTTTCAATACAACATGCCGAGACGACTATCTTCGTTCGACAGACTGCGATTCTTATGTAATGTCTCTCTCTATTCAACACGTATCGTGTCGAGTTCGGACATAAGATTCCCTACTGGTTTTTCTCGAACTACTTCGGATTTCCCAGTCCAGTGTTCTGGTTTCGTATCCGAAAAAATTCGTGATTGTTGTAAACACTCAAAATGTGTTCATGCCTCGGAGCGTGGATAGACGCTGACTATTTTGACCGCGCATCCGTTTTTGAAGTGTTATGAATATTTGATTTACTTTTAGACTATACAGAACATATTACAATCTCAAATTGTTTATTTATGTGTGGACCAATGTCGCTTGTTCTTGTTTTATTTGTAAATTAATGCAATTGTAGAATTATAAATTTTTTAATATTCTCCCTTTTTTTTATTCCGTTGAAATGTGATGAGGATATGATTAAACATAGGCAAATGTAATTTAAAGCTGATATTTCAAAAGGAACTGTATTATAATAAACGATAATTTTATAAGAAAAAATAGAGTTACCGCCAGTTCCAACATTTTTTGGAAGATGTGGAAGCTGAACATGGTGATTTTATTACTGCGAGGTAAGATCGCTAAGCCGATGAGCAGTAGTTCAACGATTTTTTAAGTTGAGGAAAGATATTTGTAACTTCATGGAGATGAAAGGAAAGACAATACACGAACTTTTCAACAACCACTGGGTTGCTGAACTTTGGTTTTTGACTGATTTGACCGCCAAATTGAATCTGCTTAATTCACGCTTACAGAAAAAAAAAAACAAATTGATATGTATTCAGATATTAAATCATTTTAAATGAAACTGACATTATTTATCAAGCATATCGATGAAAGAACACTTTTCCAAAAAAGCGGTAGACGAAGCTGGGGTAAATTTTGTTTAGCAAAATACTAAAATGGAAAGTGCATTAATACAACTTCAAACTAGGTTTAAAAACCGGTTTGCTGATTTCAAAAATATCTCGTGTAAAATTGAGATTTTTGAGAACCCCTTCTCAGTGGTTATCGATAATGTACCAAGCAATTTGCAACATGATATAATTGCAAAATGAAAACATACTTAAAACGGCATTTACGGAAAAAACTAACTTGATGGATTTCTATGGGAGTTTGCCTTCTGAAAAGTACAAGGAGTTAAAAAGCAAATATTTACTGTTTGGTAGTAGGTACTTGTTAGCAAACTTTTCAATTCTGAATTCTAGATTCACATTTAGGTGCAATACTTCAAAAATGCAAGGTAATATAAAAAATTGGCAAGTAAATTGAGCGATCTATTATTTCAATCAAGCGTATATAATAATAATAATCTCCCTAATTCACCCCCTTACGATTGAATTTCAACTCCTGAAGCCGACTGAGCGACGTGTGTAGGGGAAGGGACGGCTATTATTATTATTATTATTTGCCTTGGCGCTCCGGGGCAACTTAAAGATGATTGATAGCGCCATTTGACTTACAGGTAAGAAAAATCCGGAAAACATCACCCACCATCATCGAAAACGGTAACGTACGGCGATTTTTATAATCTGGATGTCATATCAACAGAAATTAAATTTCTGCTAATACGGTGTCCATCAAATTCTATAGAGAAACATGCAAATACATTCACATAGTCTTCCGTAGGATTAGAAACCCGTATCTGTTTTAGCACAAAATTGGCTCGCAAATGAATGCAGCACCGTAGACACCTACGCTACCGTAGTCGACGCTGATATGCTTAATTTAGAGTAGGAGAAGCGCTCCCATCCATAAAACACCTACCTTCTAGATAATATTCTTTAAAATATGCCTCTAGAGACCCCACGCCAAATTGTGGTCCCATCTTTTAAAATGTTTTCATACACATGCTCAGATTAATATTGTTACGCAGGTTTTTGGTATCTCAATTTATTTCAACACAACTTTTACAATAACTATCAACTGATAACATTAACGCATAACGTCTATTATAAAACTGACGTCAGGATCATCGACTTATATAGCTTGCTTTAACCATCTTAAACCTTCTCGAACTGTAGTGACATTTCTCGAATATTCCCCCTTCTTCTTTTACTCGTACCTTTACTTATTACGACTGCACCACGCTGCAGAGTGATGGGTGACATATTTCTTCTTTTATTCACACGTTTCCTATAACAGCTGCAGGGTGCTGCATAACATTGCTCCCTCCTCTCTAGTTATTCGCCCCGAATAATTTTGGAACCAACGGAGAGGATCTGGACCACGATATGGCGCTAACTTTTCAATGTGAACTACCTTCGGTTTACATCTCGCTAACAACTGAATGCGGTAGATCAGGTCATTGATTTTCTTGAGGACGGTGTAGGGGCCTTCCCAGTTCCGTTGCAGTTTCTTACAAAGTTCTTTTCGGCGCTTGGGATTGTACAGCCATACTGGATCGCCTCTCTCAAAATGTGTCCCTGTGGCATGCATGCCGATTCTAGCTTTTTCTTTATCGCTATTAACTTTCAAACGTTGCCGAGCGCTCCCATCCAATTCATATACCTTCTCTAATCTTTCTTTTAAGTTCTGTATGTACGTGGGAGGTGTACGCCCCTTTTCTTCACCAGGAGACTGCATTCCAAAAAGATCATGGGGAAGTTTCATCTCTCTTCCAGTAATCATGGTTGGAGTATAACTGGTCGTTTCATGTTCAGAACTTCGGTAGGCCAGAAGAACTAAAGGAATTAAAGTATCCCAGTTCTTTTGATTATCAGAGACGAACATTGAAAGACACTGGGATATCGATCTATTGTGGGTGGAGATGCGTAGTGCGTGTTTTCCTAAAGCCTAACAGTTTTATCAATTCTTGCCATAATTCAGATTCAAAATTTCGTCCTTGGTCAGAATGTAATTCCAGGGGGACTAGGTGTCTCGCAATGACGTTCGTCATAAATGCTTCCGCTACTATCGTCGCTTCCTGGTTAGGAAAAGGCCCTATTTCGAGCCGCTCTGAAAAATATTCCATAACAACAATCAAGTATTTGTTTCCCCTTTTTGTTAAGGGAAGTGGTCCAAGGATATCTATGGCGATTTGTTCGAAAGGCTCTCCAGAAAGGTAATGTGCCATTTTACCTCGACTTCTTGTTTTGGGCCCTTTTCTGCCATTACAAAGGTCACATTCCTTACACCAATCTTCTACATCCCGTCGGCAATTGATCCAATAATAAAATCTTTCCCGAACTTGTGCAAGTGTCCTTTTAGTACCAAAGTGCCCTCCTGAACGGCTGCTATGAAGCTCCTTCAACACACTTCTGACATGTGATTTCGGCAGTACCACTTGGCGGGCTACATGTACTCCATCGGGGCTCTCCCACTTCCGGTGCAATAGGCCATCGTGAAGATACAGGGAATCCCACTGAGTACAGTACCCTTTAATAGCTCCACTGTATTTTGCTATCTCTTGCCAAGTAGGTGTAACTTTATTTTTGAGCCATTCTCGGACAACCTTCAAGTAATTGTCTTTTTACTACCCCTTCCTCAGGCCTTCAAGGGTGATTTCTTCTTCGTCGCCCTCTGACTAGATAGTGGTTGCCCGAATAGTCCGGGAGCCAGTGACATTTTTCAGTTAGTCAATTAGCAAAAGCTGAAAGTTTTTCCTTGACTTCACTTGGTGACGCTAGTAAGTAAATGGACCTCCAGCTGGCACAGTTGGGGGTGTAGCTGCGGCAGCCTCCCACACACGTTCGCGGTCATTGTCGCTGCAGTTAATGTCGGCTATTGCCATTTCCTCCTCGTCATCAGCAAAAGTAAGTAATAACAATATATTAAAAATTATATGAAATTCATATATATTTTCAATATTATTCTTTAATTGTAAATTACGTACATTCATGTAGATAAAATAAAATTAATTGATAAAATATTTTAAATTTTAAAATGTTAATATAGAGAGAAATACATGAGTATAGTTTTCACCTGCAGTACT